GGGGTGGATGCTGCATCCTCCTAAGCCAAAATCTTTGGGAAATGATCTGGGGGACACAGGGTCCAGCTGCGATGCCGCAGACAGCCGCTTTGTTTGTTGTACGATACAAAGGCTTGCCAGCGGCCCAGCCTCTGCAGAGACCTGGCTGCTCCAGAGCGAGATAGCGCTGAAACCAAGACAGCCCTGCCAAATGGCTCCAGCTGGGAGCTCCTCCCGTCCTCTCCCACCCACTGAGACGGGAGAGGGAGCAGGCGCTAACCCCCGCGGCTGGGCGTGGGGAGGTTTTGTGTTTTCTGATAATACAGACTGGTGATCTTCTCTCCTCAGATTTAATTTGCCCTTTCCTCTAGCCCTCTGTCCTTATCAAATGCCACTTGGCATTGCTTCCCTCCCAGCCTACAGCTTCCCACTCTTTTTCCAAAACCCCTGTTAGGAGATACGACTGCCGAGAGATGTAGTAAAGATAGACCTGTTGGGTAAGGAGAGCCGTGGGCTTTCTCATGTTCTCATTCTTTTCCATGGTCAGGAATTTATTGTTGATCTTAATCTTAGGCCAGGCAACGTCACGGCATGGTGAGAATAAATTTACTTGAACAATTTGTTGATAGGCGGATTTATTTGGCTTCTCATAGGGCCACCAAGGGGGAGGGCTTGGGAGAGGGGAGTTTCCTTTTGTGCCTTTTGCTCTTTGAAACAAGCGGTAGGAATACGCGGGAATGGCAGGTCTGACTTCAAGGAAGTATTTGAAAGTTTTACAGGCCTCTTTCCAGCTCCAATGCCCAGCCTTAGCAAGGGCTGAGGAAATGCCCGTGTTTTAGCCATCAGGTTCCCTGAGCCGCTGCGCGGCCACGAGCACCCCCCGCCGTTCCTGCCCCCGGGCCCCAGGTTTGGCTCTTTGTGCCCAGAGCGCTCCTCCGGGGCCGAGACGAGGCACTGGCGATGCAGCAGACGCAGCCTCGCGCTCAAAGCCTCTGCCTGGGATGCGAAGGATCTTTTTCCAGGTCACGTGTGCTCTGGCTTCTTGCTCTGTGCAGCGGGGATAAGAAATCACCCCTGCATCATAAGGGTGGTGCAGTATTTAATTACTGTTTGTAAATGTCTGAGAGATCACCTGATAAGGAGCCTCTGCGCCAGGGTGTCATCAGCCCACGCTCCCCTTCACGGCAGCGCACGGTCACACTTCCACCTCCGAGCCAGTTCCTGCAGACCTGTGGCAATAACTGGCCACGTTGGGCCAGGCGATACAGTGGGACACCGCGGGATCGCTCTGCTGGCTGACATGTTTTCATATGTCCCACGAGAGCGGCACGTCTTCCCGGCTGGACTTACCTGAAAGGAGTTCTCTTTGCTTCCTTGGTAGGTTTGTGTGGCTGATAGGTTGCAGGCTCCGGGGTGGATCTGTCCATCCTCGTTAGGCGGGAGGCTTTGACTTGAAGGAAGAAGTTCTACCCTTGGGAGACACCCTGCTGAGGGAATCGTTGATGCTGTAGTGACCGAGCAAACAAACAGGAACGGGATGTAAATACCAAACAAGGCCGCACCGGTGGCACTGAGG